TGGCCAACTTCTTTTGCCCGTTTCACAGAGAGGAGTAGTATCTATAGTATTTGGTGAAATGAAGGAATGTTGTCACTATTAGCTATTTAGCATCACATAAGAGTTTGAAAATGTGTTGATATCCAGTTAGCACCAGTGTTTCAGAAAGTGACTTGATGAACTGCATTATCTAATCAGAAATCCTGACTCCTCTGTTAAATTACTTCATGTTGTTTCATTAAGTTTTTTACATTGCATATACATGGTGTTGCTGTTCACCCGGATTTGGAATTAGAATGAGAAACTTCTTTTTTTTTTTTTTTGGTCCATCAGGTCAACATGACGAAACCATAGACTGGATAAACATATCCTTTCTTGTCCAAAATATATGATCTAATATGGCAAGAAGCGGAACATTTCATGGGCTTTTAACCATGCTGGATAATATACAGCGAGGCATAAAAAGCTGGAGGCAGGACTTGGCACAAAAAGATCTTCCACTAGTTTATTCTATGAGATATTTGTTAAGAGGAACAGTGTCAGTCATTAGAAATGTGCTCTAACAGTATACATCAGCCACATTTAAGTGCAAAACCTTTTTCTGACAATGGTGAAAGTTTGCTGTTTCCTGTGCTTCTATTCAAACTTTTCTCAAATCTGAAAATAGCTGATGAAGCAAGAGAAATAAATTTCATGTGACCGCTTACTTTTGAAAGAATATTTTCAGAATAGAAACTTCACCACATCCAAATGTTTATGGAATTCTGTTTTGATACAGTTATGTAGAAAAAGAAATCCCTGACTCTGTCTTAATTCCACATTAAATAAGTGAGGTGAGCATGCAGGCCTGACTCTGCATGGAGCCGGGCATCACAAATACCTTTATTCATCCGTGCTGTCTGTATGCACTCATTAATTTCATAGCGTGCTTAAGGTCCTCTGCTGGCTCAGTGATTAAAATATGAGGAAGAGAGTTATTTGGTCGACGTTATTTAGGTCTGTATTCTCCCACAGAGAGAGCTGAGGTGTCAGAGCTATAGCTGGGAATAACATTTGGTCCCTGTCATGTGTAGGGACGGATACAGCATTCTGCATCTGATTTGTGTTCCATTGCACTGGAGGTCATAAAACTGTATTCAGATTAAATGCACATCTTGCGTTTTTATCACAGCTTTTAAAGCATCATCTAAACATTTCAACTGAAATAGTATAGTAAATACTATTGTATGTGTTCATCTATTGCCTCTTAAGTGAGGAAAATACATCCCACTGGAGGAAGGCTCTGGGTAAACACTTGCTTTTGAGGGGGAAGTGCAGTGTCATTACAGAAGAAATCTTCACACTTAAGAAAGAAGGAGCTTGTCTATTTAATTTGTATTGTATATGTTCCTTGTTTATGGATCTGATGCTCAGCTGGGATAAATTGTCTCAACACTGTGGATTTGGCTCGTTTGTAAAACTTGATGTGTGTGCTATCTATTTAAAACCTGCTGGAAAGGAACAAAATGTGTGTCCCTTAAGTGAACAAAGCTGCTGTAGTGCCATGGGAAGATGTCCTGGATGTTCTCCTTGCCCTGAGGAAACACTAAAAATAAACGTTCAATATTTCCATAGCGAACTTCCTGAAAAAGCCTATGGAAGTCAAGAGTTATGGACAGATCCTGTGCTTATGGTGACGTTTGTTGTAAGGTTACACATGTAAACCTGAGTAGGACAGGAGGCTACAAGAGCATTAAATAACTCTAATTTTTCACTCTTCATTTGCATTTCAAAAAGTAGGAGGACACAGACTTCACTGGTAGCTTATGTTAGTACAGGTGCAGTTAATTTTTCTTTCTCTGCTGTTGTGTAATGCCAGTAGCAGGTATTCCCCATACAGAGAAAAATGCATGGTGGGTATTAACTATCCAGCTCATTTGCTAGGCTTGGGAAAGAACTGCAAAAGGTTTCCTGTGCACATTTACCTAAGTTAATCCTGCAGTTTGCTTCAGCTGGGTTTGCTCTGTTTTAACTGCGATTTCCTAGCGAACACCTGAATGAATGATCTGCGTGCATGCGAAAAGCACAATTTAAACTCCACTCTCTTTTCACTGATGATCATATATTGTGTATGGGAAGGAACATCCATTGATGTTGTTAAGCTAAGGATTCCTTTTACTTGGGGCGGGGTGGGGAGGCTGATAAATCGCTGGGAAAAAAGGATTGAACAGTACCTTTTATAAGACTGAGAGGAAACTGTATTTTGGGGAGTAATTTTGAGTGTAAAGGAGCCTTTCTGGAGGATTTGGAGGGGAGGAGCTGGAGAAGAATGCTCTGGTATTCCTGAAGCACCTTCGGGGGGACACAAGGGAAGCGGTGCAGAGATGTTGCTGTGTTCAGCTGCCAGGTCATTCACCGCGCTTGCACAGCTGTACATAAGAATGATGATGCTGAGTTGGGACAGGACATCCTTCACTGTGGCATCCTGGAAATGCCTTTGTAAAAGGGAGTGTGCTGTTCTCGGAGAACAGGCATACCGTCAAGGCATACTGTCAGCTGGCAGCAGCTCACAAACCTTCTCACTGTCTGCTCTGGTCTCCTAATGGCGTGAGTTGTGTATAACATCAGCCTGTTACATGAAACTGGATTAATTTTGGTTTCATCCTCCCTGCTCCCCTAACAACCCCTTTCCTCATGTCTGGACGTGGCAGAGATGGAAAAAGGGAGTGCAGGATGGTTCTGTTGGGGGCAAACCCCAATTGCTGTTGATATTCCTTACCTATTGTTAGTACTGTCCTGCTTGTTTTCATGAGAAAGAATGACTAGGACAATTTAGAAGGCGGCACCATGACTTGGAAATGAAGCAAACGTAAGACAGGATTTGCAGTAGGAGAACAGAGGTTCTCCTAAGCAGTTTGCTGCTTCCTTTTTGAAGCTGCTTTGGGTTTGAGTCTTGCATCCAGAATTTGCCCCTTCCCCTGAAAACTCAAAGCGCTGAGCCCCTCCATGGGAGGGAACCACTCAATACATACCCATAGCTTAGTGTGCTGAAAGGCACTATTGTTTCAAAACTTCTCTGGCTTATTTCTCTCAAATTTTGAAATGTTCTATCTAGAAAAAATCAAAACTCTGTCCTTGGACTGGTCCTGAATAGTAATTCCTCAGTCAAACAAAACAAAATCACAAATGAGACTGGACAGCTGTTTCCCAAATATAGCATATGCATATATGCTATACAAGGTAATAAAGCTTAGTTTTCACTATTTGAAATGTTCTGTAGTCTCCCTGCCCCCTCCCTCCAGTCAATGGCAAATGTTGTTCTCAGAACTCCACTCCTCACATTTTGTTCTTGAGAACAGAGAGGATATTGAGATATACTAGCTTCTTTCCTTGAGTGCATTTCAATATGCATTTTGTATAATGAGAGCCCAAATCCTTCTCGCATTACTTATGGTCTAATCACACTGTGCTCTTGCAAGATTGCTTTAATCGCATTTGCATCAGCAGGAGTAACTCTGTATGATAAGCAATATTTCATCTGCAAACATAAGAGAAGACCGATATCAGGTGCATGACTAAAATGGACCTCGCTGTCCTGGATTTGTTACAGCACTGCTGTCTAGCAAGGAAAGTTGTAGCATCCTGATTTGAGAAATAGGTTTTCAGGAAACGAAAGGAACAAAAAACTATCTTAAAGGTTTTATAGAGGACTTGTCAAATATGATAGTTCCCTTTTAATTTTCTAGTAGGTTTCTTTTTGGCATATGTGAACTCCCAAGAAGCGCGAAGCTGCCTAGTGCAAAAGACATCATTTTGTAGTTTAGCCATGACATTACAGTATATGAGAACTGAAAAGTTATATAGATATTACACCAATATATAAACCATGTGTGTTAGAAAGACAAGTTCAGTTTTGAAATATTTGACTTAGCTATGCTTTTCACTTTCAATCTGTGCCAAACATATGCTTGAATGACTGATGGAGTCATATGGTTCCCTGAATAAAAAGCACTTTATTGTGCACAGACGTAGAGCCTTCCAACAGTTGTATTACAGAAGCTTGAAGATTAAGATGATCCAACTGCTTAGGGGGTATGTTCTACAATGGACATTTTATTTTTCTTTTTTTTTTCTGCTCTCTCCTCTTTTTTTGCTTTAAGATGTGTCATTAGTTTGTTCAGCTGGCTGCGCAGTGACACTGGCCGCAGCAATCTTCAGTTGACAAGAACAGCAGCATACCTTTAGTTTTAAGCTTTTGCTCCCATGTTCACAGTAAAATGTTGAGCGCACAACGTTTTTCCAGAGAGTTTACGGGATTTCATGGGGGAGGGTTAGGAGGGCTGTTCCCAACGCAGATTATTTCATCAGCAGAATTAGGTTTAGGAAGGGAATGACTCATGCAAGAACAAGTGATGACAGGAGATAGTTCTTCGAATTATAAAGCTGAAATAGTAAAAAGCCTGTTTTAAATGCTGTTTAGTTAAAGGAGATCAGGGTGTCTTAAACTCGTATTTCTCATCTGGCTCTCCCGAAGCCGAGCAGTGTGAAAGATCAAGTGGACGTGCTGCAAAATCGCGCACAGATGAGCTCGGAGCTGACAGGCCTGTCAAGCGGGAGAGCGAGAGCGGGGTGGGGGATCGTTTTTCATTAGAAGCTGAAAGAACAGAAAATTAAACTCAGAAAGGCGTGGAGTCACCTCGCTGCTGCTTGTCCTCAGGCTCATCTAAGACCTTTGCTGACTTTTGAGGTTCGAAAAATTTGGTACACGAGTAGTGATTTTTTTTTTATTTTTTATTTTTTTCCCCCCAATGTGAGGGAAAAGACAAGACCCATGCCTGAGGTGATCCGTGCAATTGATTGTTTTTTGAAAGTTACTTGTACTAGATGCCTGAGGTCTTGGGTTTGGGAATGGTGGGAAGACACAAGGACAGCTTGGTGTCTAGTTAGGTGGCTTTTTTTAAATAACAGCGTTATTTTCAAGGCGGGCCATGAAGGGACTAATTTAACTAGACTTCTGTGGAGAGACTCAGCCTACTGCTTAGATGGGTAAAGGTGAGTGCGGAAAGTAATCTGCGGTTCCGAACTAATAAAAAGTCGAGCGCAAGAGCATGCAGTGCTTATTATTATTATTATGACATGTTGTTATAATCGGCAGTATTAATAAATATAACTTGGCAGGGCGGGTCTGGGCCAGGCAGCCCCGTGAGGTGAGCAGGGCCCTGGGGCCTGACAGGACCCTGCCCCTGACATGGCGGCTTTGGGGGGGGAGGGGGGGGGGGGTGACATGGCGGCGCGGGCAGGGAGGACCCTACCCTGACGTGGCGGCACGGGGGCTCTTCTCCAACGCACCGGAGGACACCAGGGACGCCGGCTTTATTATAAATCCGTGTGTTAACGGATGCGCCGGGCCTATAGGGCAGCGCAGGTCTGGGGCGCCGTGTCTGGGGGAGCGGAAACCGTGCGATAAAGAAAAGCCAGCCCTTCTGCAGGCATCCGCGCAGCTTGGTCTGGGGGTGGGTTGTTTGTTTTGTTTTGTTTTGTTTTCCCCCTTCGCTTTAGTCTGCTTTATCCCGGCCCGTTCAGCTCTGAGAGCGTCCTCCTTTCTGTTTATCGTAAAGGCAAATAAACCGTACTGCCTGACTAAAACCTTATTAATTCTAAGTTAATGCGTATCTGAAGTGGATCTGGGCTTCCTCAGGCGGCAGCGGCCGTTAAACAAAGACGTCAGGCCGCGTGCTTAAGAGTTTATTTTGCACAGAGCTCAGAGGAACTGAAATGCAAAGTGAAAAGATGAAAACTGTTTGTAACTACTCGCAAACAAGTCCTTGCATGATACGGTGCGAAGAAGAACAGTTGTAGAAATACACTGCAGAGGGATAATACTTAAGCTGCACAAAAGTCACTGATAGATAACATCTACTCATCTCGCTGTTTGTACAAAGTACCTTTCATTTAACTGAAAATAGAATAAAGGAGCTTGTGGGCTGTGTGTGGATCAAAAGAGTTACCTTCTGCGCTGGCTGAAAATAGAAAACAGCTAGACCTGACTGTGAAGGTTTTCCTGTGGAAAAAGGGGAGACAAGCTTGCATCGGAGAGAACTGGGCAGAATTTCACTGAAACGGAAAATAAGTAGGTGAATAAGTAGGTGCATGTGATTTAAAAAGATAGGAAACGTGGGTCCAGTAAAGGTTTCTAGTAGTACAGATGGCCTGTTTCCCCCCCCTCTTCTCATGACACTTCACCAAAATTTAAATTCTTTGATTTCAGTTCTAACGCTATTTGTATTGCTGTAATGCCAAGAGTCTCCACAGAGAAGAGGCCTCATTGTTAATGTAATGCAAACAGCTTTAATGTCCCAGCTTCAAAGAATTCGTAATCAAAATTGATAACACAGATGAAAAGAGGCAGAGAGGGAAATATCCATGCGTCTCTGCCCATGAGCTGTGGCACTTGACCAAGGACATGAAAACCCTATGTGAGTGCAGGTCTCTGGTTTGGTCACGCACCTCTTCTCTTGGTGGTCCTCTGAGATACCTGCTCTGAGATGGGAGGCCCGTAATCAACAGAAGACATCGGGGAATGAAACCTTAAGGAAAAAAAAAAAAAGAGAAAGGAAAAGGGGTGCTGGAGGGAACACACATCCACAGGAGTGTGTTGTTCAGTCCTTGTGCAAGAAACTACGTCGTATCTGACTGGGGCACTGAGGAACTAGTTGTTATCGCTCATCCGTTTGGGCCGTTCTCACTTGGCTCAAGTACCGTAGGGGAGTATGCTTTACCCTTGGAAAGCATTGCTTTCGCTCCAGCTGCCAGGAAGGGAGACAGCTGCAGGATAACAGGGGTTTGGTTGCAGAAGATGGGTAGATTTACGGCCGGGCTTCCTCCTGGGGATAACTTCTTTGGTGTTTACAGCAGTGGTCTGAGGTTGGGGCTGCGTGTGACCGAAGCACTTTGCTAAAGCTTTCTGACGATGCCAGCGACCATTCCACCTTTGTATCTGCTCAGAAACCAACACAGCTGTTCAGATTAGGTGCTGATGTGGGACTGTGGGACTGTTTGTACCAGTTATTTTTTTTTTTTTTTTCAAGGTTTCCTGCACTTTTCAACTTCAGTTATGTCTATCCTTTTTTAGCCTGAGTCTCTTATGGTTACCTTTTTGTTTTCTTTTTTTTTTTTTCCAGGCTTTGCTTTGTGTCTTTCTCTACCCATGTTTCTTATCTCTGTATCCTGTTGTTCCGTTGGGCTCTGTAGGCCTTTTTGATACTGCCATCTTTCCCTGTCCCAGATAAATATGCAGAGGTTCCTCTTCATCAGCTGCAGTATCTTGTTTTCTGACAAGCTGTTCTTTGAAGCTGCATAATCAGTCTGCAGGATCCTTTTTAAAAATATTTACCTTTCTTTATCTTCCATCTACTTTTATATTTAAACAGTGTCTTCGAGTTAAGCTCACAGCTATATGGGTTGTTTTATTTTGTACTCTTTCAGAAATATGCGTAGTACGTTAATGTAATGACCTTAAACCAGAAGCCCATCACTCTTTGATTTACAAAAGAAATTGTAACGTGCATATGTTGTACCGAGGGCAGCTGAGAATTAAGCAAATGCGTAACATTAAGTGCTTTCCAGAATGAGGCCACGTGACGCAGCCATGGTGCTTCTTCCACCTTTCAGGAAACTGTGATTTCTATCACATGCAGTAATTTAAATAAAAACATTCAGATATGCAGCAAAATATTTGGCTGAAGGAAAGAACCTACACAGAAATTGATCTTGTATTTTATAAATGCTATAGTTTCAGTTTGTGTACCCAAAGGCTTGACTATTTTCTTTCCTCCAAATAAATTATCTGTTCCAATGAAGATATTACTGCTCCCTATAAACCTATCTTGACTTCTGTCTCCAGAGTATCAATACTTCTGCTATATGTATGCATTTTTGGTGTGTAAGTAAGTAAGCATGTGTGTAAGATTAAAATTTGCTCACTATAACCTTACTTCTTCATGCACAACAAACATCACTTTATCGTGTAAGTAATCCCAAAGAATGGAAGAGAGAGTGACAAAATTGAGCCATAGTTTGTGTAGCAGTTGTTCCTTGATAGTTTTATAACAGTTAGCTTTCCGGACAGTGCCATGTAATGAGGGAACAGCACATCGGTACACAAATGCAGATCTCTTTTTCTCCTCCCCCCTCTTCTTTTTTGGATAACCTTGATTTTAACATTTTGCCAAATTAATAACAAAGGCAACTTCCACACGTAGGAATACTAGAAAGACTTTGACATCTCCCGATATCTAGGTAAAACTCCATCAAGTAAGCCTGCATGGAAGGGATATAGATGACTGTGTCTGCAGGGGAGAAGTATGTTCATAGGGTTTTTTAAAATTTAGACCATGAAAATTTCAGAGTGCAACTCCTTTAAAATAATAGAAGGGCCTGAGTCATTTAATTCAAACACTTGAGACTGCTCTAGTGAGCCAAGAAAAAAATCAGGACTAGAGCCAAGATTTTCTCATTTCTCTGAGTTTTGCTTCATAAATTTTTGTTCTGTGAGAGGAACTTCATGCTTGATAATCTGAATGAGGAGCTGTGATGTTCTGTCTACTCTGGATACTAATTAGCCCCTTGCTCTTTCTCTGAAATGGATGAAATGATATCTTACACGTGGGTGAACTACATCGTTTGCAGGGTTTGGAACATCACTTCTAAGTGATGACCTGTGTCCTGAGAGACCATTGTTAGCTTGGGATCTGTGGCTCAGTTGAGGTTAGGGCGAGAACTCTTTTGGTACAGCAACATTCATATAACAAATAACTTCTCCTATCCCGCATATACTTTGTCTTTTTATCTTACTATTTTTGGGGCATTTTAGGGAAAGTGTCGTATTTTAAAAAGCATGCTGGAAATAGTGGACCTGTTTTTCTCTCATGTCAGTTTAGCACTAATGACTCTATAAATGGCTTTTAAACTAATTCTAATAGTGAGTAAACTGGGCTCGTTCTCCCCCAAGACACAGCTCTGGATCCCTCAAAGTATTAAGTGACTAGAAACAGGAAATCAGGTTGCTGGGATGTCCATACTGAGCACTGTGATGTTTTGGCCAGGTTTGGCACTACAGCTCTCCTCTAGTTCCTGGAAGGGGATTCAGCCCTGAGCCCCAGCTTAGTGCTGTCCCATCGCCCACCCTTTGCACCTCCTAGGACAAAGTTCCTAGAGGGAAGAAGGAACAAAGGTAATGCTGTTCCTTCTTCATTTTAATGAAGGATGGATGGATTTCTAAAGCACGTTCAGAACTTGTCCTCCTGGAGAAGAACTCAGCAGGATGATAGGTCAGGAATGTGGTGCACACAACAGGAGTTTTGCCTTTCCCATGGTACCTGAAAGCTATCCCTACCTCCTGTTTAAGATTTATTCTCAGTAACATTTCCAGGTCTTGTATGGTGAGGATTTTTTAGAACTGTTTCCTTTGACAGGCACAATACCATTAAGTATGTTTAGTGAGAGGAAAAATACATGATAAATGTTGCATGCAAATAGCTTTTTGACATTGTAATATGAACTGAAGTCATTTTACTGTGTAGGAGTAGAGCATTATTTCAATGAGAGTTTATATTCTCTTCCAGACATTTCTTTTGCTAATGTGAATGTACACCCTTGATGTTTAGGGGTTCTTAGTACTTCATGACCTCCTTGCATGTCCATATAGAGACGCTGAGGCCACTCAGATAAGTAAATATTCAGTCTTTTGTTGTACACAGTTCAAACTTGTTAAAATGAAGACAACTGCGTATTTCCATATTTAGTGGAGTAAAATGGTACCTTAAAAAGTGTTTGGGGGATAATCAAATATCTAGGATTAAAACTAGTAAATCTACTGTGCACCATAAATTTGGAGGTTTAAGGAAAGTAACTGTATCATATTTATGCTGTGACTCAAAGTCACAAAATGTGAGGACCAGCTGACTCGGCCACGGAAATGAAAAGGACATAAGGGGAAATCTGTGATCGTTATCTGCCTTTAGGGAGAGCTGGCACTGTGCAACAGCATGGTTAACTCACCCTGGGGAAACTAGGGCTCTAGTTACTCCCTGATGGGAACTGTGCCCCCTCCCACCACCAGTGCTTTGAGTCTCATCCAGCAAGACTCTCTCTTGGAAGAAGGATCTGGGAGAAGAGGGATAGAAAGAGTGGAGTGATCAAAGCTTTTGCTAACTTTTTACCGTAATTACTGAAAACTAGTCCTGATAAAATCTTATCTCCTTTAAATCCCTGTAGCTTTCTTAGCTTCTTAATAACGATGCTGAAAAGACAGTCATCTACTGCGTTTGCCCCTGCTTTCCATGTGCCATCATCTTCAATGGGAAAAAAAATCCAAATTCTAGCATGATTTTGATGTAACACTTTAAAGAGCTCGTGCCAGTACTTCTCCCAAAATTTTTTTACTGAAATGTTGCATCCTAACTCCACGTTCTTTGCATCCTGGTATCTCTATACCTTATCTCACCCTGTGTTTGTGCAACGCCCATCACCATAGTTTCTGAATTCTGGCTGGGACCCTTAAGAGCAATTCAGAGAAGTTATTTAGTACAAAGACAGCAGTCAGTAATATATGAAAATGCCTTCAGAAACAGCAACAACGTTTGTATATCTCAAAGCAAAGGCACAAGAATTATCCACATAGTTTTGACATTGGATTTCAAATGCTGTATGGGACTGCTGTTGGTTCAGTTCCCCCCAGCCACTCACTAGTTCTGCCGTGCAGTCTTTGTCTAAATTGCTGTTACAGAAACATACCATCTAATCAGGAGTGGAAATAACCTCAGCGCTTCTCTCCCTGAACCTCGGTTCTCTTAGAAATTTGTATAGGTTTTGACATTGACAGTGTGAGTCCGCTGTGTTTTAACATTTAATTCCTTTCCTGAACTTATTTCCTTTTGAAATATACTGCTAGATCCCTTAAATAACAAGGTTCATGTTGTCAGATTTTGTTCCCCGCTAACGTGAAATGCTTCTTCCCTCTGTACCTAGGAGAGAATGTGGACGGTAAATTGCAATCTGCAAGACAACAGATGCCAAAGGACCGGTCAAAAGATTATGAAATAATAGTCCCCTACCTTTTGAATGGAGAACAGTGGAGACCAATAAATGACTTTTATTCAAAGGTTAGTCTTCGTTTTGCCTATTATTTTATTCTAAAGTGTATAACAATTGAAAGGCTATAGGGGAAAGTAGACAATTGCGCTTCATCATAACTGTTATAGGTATATTCTTTATATTTTAGTCTATGAGATCTGTGGTTAAAATTAATACTTATTTTATTGTAAAGTGGCGTTCTTATTTCTGATGATAGAAATGGAAGCGTAAAGTGAGGTTAACATACATTGCTTGAGATTGTAATTTATTAAACAAATGTCTTTGTATTTGCTTTTCCATCAGTTTTGGGGCTGTTTTGCTGTGGAATGGTACAAACTCTTTCCTGAAAGTTCTTCCTGTCAGAGTTGTTGTTCAGCATAAACCCATACGTTATATGGCACCTGTAACAGGGAGATGGCCCCAAAGCACCATCCTAGGTATCGCGAGTGGCTCACAGAGGGAACTGCTAGAGGGAGTTGCTAGTGAGTTGCAGTTTGCACTCTGCTTTCCCTTCGCCTAGCAAGGTGGGGTAACTTCCTACTGCTCTGACTAACCAGAACTTGCTTTCCCTCCTAAACAAACTTTCCTTCCCTTTTTTTCCCCCCCTCCTCTTCTTTTTCCTTCCCTTTTTCCCCCCCTCCTCTTTTTCCTCCCCGCCTCAGGCATTGGCTGATGGTATGGATGGCTGGCAGGAAGGAAAAAAGGGATGTTTTCTATCTCCTTGGTCTCTTGCTTGAATACGGAAGGCAAGTTGCCTGTATCTTTTATTATTACCAAAGATGTCATGAGAATCTCTTACCCAACCTTTTAACCCACCTTTTTTAAATTTAGTTTTATTCCAGATTACTTTTTAATATTGTTCCTTAAATTGTCAGTATAAGGAGATAACAGTTAAACAAACTGTTTAAAACAATTAAAAAAAATAGAGCAGGTTTTTTTTACTGCAGTTGAAGTTTTTAATGGAGAAATCCTACTTAACTACTGTTACTGTTTGAGGGATCCACTTTTGAATCATGCTCATGATTGACAGAGGTAGGTATGAAAAGAGATTTTAAAACAATGCATCTGACTTTAAAAAAATCTTGTCTCAATTCAATTTTGTTTCCTTCCTTACCCGCCTCCCCCCAAATGAGAAAGAAAGGTCAGTCATGATTTTGACTGTCTGCAGTGATGAAAGGGATATCATTTTGGATGTATAATAACATATCTTAGGGAGATAACACAGATGGCTTGGTCCTAGATGTATATGCAACTCTATTTTTAGATCATTTAATTAGAACCAGACGTTTTCCTCATAGGATTCTTTTAGCTACTCACTGTAGCTTTCAGAAAGACTTACAACAGAGTATCTTTATGTGGGTAATGATAATATGATTTATATCATTAATTTGTTTCCCAGAATTGCTTTCTGTTTAAGATGAACATTAGGGAAGATTTGTGGTTTGGTAGAAAGATCCACATGCTGTGTCAGCACTTTTTTTCTTTGAATACTTCTTTTCCGTGAAACTGTTATAAATTAAATACATAAAAGTGCAGATCAGGCTGTGGGAAGAGCAACAGTGTTAAACTGTTAGAGGAGAAGAATAATGAATAGCTTGTCACATAAATATTGATCAAAAGCAGGAAACTTAAATACTGTTGTATTTGATAGTTAAATAGGACCTATTGTTCTTCAACTCATTTCTAAGTGTTCTTCTATTTTATTCAATTTTTAATGCAGTAAAAAAGTATGAAGCACTGTGTACTAGTAACCAGGGGTTATTCTTGCAATAGAATATGTAGTAGAATAAATAGTGCAGTGGATATAAAAATGCCAAAGTATTAAAGTTATTTTTTGTATAGATAATTGCCTTGCAATGAAAGCCCTCATTCTGCAGTCCTGTGATCGTAAATACTCTTGCTTAACAATTAGCCCCTAAGGAACCATACTAATCATTTGGTACAGCATACTCTTTCTTTCTCATCTTGAGGACAAAACCGTTCTCTTATTTACCCCAGGAGTCCCTGCAATAATCTGTTGGAATATCTCGCTCAGAATCTGTCATGAACAATTATTAAGCTAATGACTCTCTTGTTGAGGGCCATCCATGCAGTACATCTTGCAGAATAGAAGCAAAAATGCCTAGTCTTGTTTCTGCTGAAACTAGTCACATTGGCTTGTCATATGAACACACCATCCTGCTCACTAGCAGAGTTAGAAGTATACCTACCGCAAGAAATAATGTAAAGTTACTTAGCTGAACCTAGTTTTATTTTTAATGTAATTAGGGTACACTTTTTCAAAGACGTTTAATGATATAGGTACATCCAAGCACTGTTGAGCATGATGGATTCAAATAATAGTAGGAACAATCCAATTTTAAAATTAGATGTAATCAAATTATATCTAAAGAGTCTTGGTCTTCGAAGTATAAATGTACTGTTTTGCTTCTGGATAAAACCTATCATCTACTGGGCAGATAATTTTTTTATTTTTTCCTCCCCCTTATGTTTTTGCCAAGCTGAAGTTGAGAGACCAGGACCAGGATTTTACTGTGGTAGTATTAGTTTAGAAATGCTACTGCTTTTTTCTAGCTTGAGATGATGCAAATACTCATCCAAACACTTTTCTATATTGATGTACATTTAAAATATAGAGTAGGTATACTTGACACAAGTTGCTATGGAAATACAGGGTTTTTTTGCAGCTATACAGTGCTGTTGTATCTAGTTAATGGTAGTTAACTGTTCTTCTGGCATCTTTTGTTAAATTCAGAAGGTTTAGATAATTTCCAGTTGGAATATTTTAATGGTGTCTAGTTACATTCCTTTATTAGCTAGGTATAATAGTCTGTTGCCAATCTTGCACACGCTGCTAAAATTAGCGTCTACTATTTTGAGTATGCAGTTGTTGCTAGTCAGGACTATTCATGAGTAACTGTATTGGTGGGTGTGTGACCACCAAATCAGGACTGTAAACTATTGTGCAGTGTTACTGTGTGCTTTCAAACAATAGCTGTCCATATTCTGGGCAGATGTGACTTCTGTCTGCTGAAATTTTGTGTGCGTTATATAATGTGTTGATAGGTCGTTATACTTAACGCTTAGTTCCAGTTCCCTTTCCAATTCTTTCTTTCATTTGGTCATAACTTTGCGTTTTGTGTCAACTTTTTCCCAGTGCCTGGCCTATACTCAAAAGGGTTGGGTTCTATTTTTCTTAATTTTTGTAAGGTTTGAACCAAATTGATTAATTTCTATATTATTCAAATGAAGGAAAAAGACTCTTTTCCCTACTTGTTCCCAGATGAATATTTTTCTTCAAACTTGGCTTGAGACTTAAAAATGAAACCAAGTTTGATGAGAGTTGGGTAAGTGATGTTTTAGTACACAGAACACTTTAGGGAAGATTTTTAGAAGACCATCTGTTTGGCTTCAGCTTTTATCCTCACACCCTGTTAGGGACCCACACTGGTTAATGTGTGCCAGATCGCTGCATCACAGGAGCTGTGGAAGGTCAGGTAATGTTGGTTGCGTTCGACGGGAGCCTGAAGCACGTGTCTTCTCCTTGAGAGAAAAATGCTGGACAGGGAAGTGTTTCGTGTAGGCATTGAGGGGCGTTTGGCTTGGCCTCTATGTTTAAAAAGTCACAGCTGTGGGGAAATGCTGTTTGCCCGATAGAAGATACCATCCAGGGCATATATAATAGCCTATAATGCTGTGGGTGATCCCGATATAGAATTACCCTGTGTTGATATTCATTCTTTTAGAGTGAAACACTTATTAATGAACTTGGCTTTGTCTTCTCTAACCAGGGTTTAGTCCAGGTCTTATAATGCATTAAGTTTCTGGGAAACTGAGGGCATTTTGTGCATATATAATGTATTTGATTCAATTACGCAGATAAACATAGAGTTCTCAGGTCATTCTAAATGCGCATAGATCTTTTCTCCTTGGTTTTGTGACACCTGTCACTCAAATGCAGGGTCTTTCTCTATTGTTAGTTATGTAGCATTTATAATGCCATTGGTGGCACCTGCAAGTACTGAAATAGGCTCAAAGGGTTGATTTACAAAAGTATCTTGTAGAATTTAGTCCTCTGAAGTTTATAAAAGCATATGTACAAGTTGCATTCAGTTCTTCTTACTGGGTTGCTCTTTGCATTTTTTGGTGCTTATGCACATACTTCTGTACTTCTGATCTTCAAATCCTTCAGCGTAAAATATTAGACTGCTCCATACATACATGTGTGCTCCAGACAGGCTACGATTGCCATTCATGAAGACATACCTGAGGTAGGTACTGTACAAAGTGTAGCCAGGCAGCATGGAGCTGAACATGACATCTGAAGAGCTGCTTGAGAAGCTGGAAAGCACTTAAATGCTTTAGGCTGCTTTGAGTTTGCAAGCTGCCAGTTCAAGTTGTTTTCAATGATGCAAAGAAAATTTTTTATTAATACTAAATTTAGATCATGTATAGAGGACAGAGAGCATGTTTTACTGTATAACTTCTTAAAAATAATTAGCTATGAGAAGCTAGATGTGTGCAATATACCTGTCAACAGGTTAGACATCTACTCTACTTGTTTCGTAGTGACTCTTACCTGATATATATTTTTTTAATGGGAGTGCCAATGACCTCAATAAATCAGAAGTATACTAGAAAAGCAACTTCACTCCAAATTGCAGAGAGCTAGACCTCACATTAGGTCGAAGATGCTGTGTGGCTTTCCATGCTCCAGGACTTTCTGATCTGTTGCTATTGCGGTGACAGGCGAGAAGGAAGAGAGAGGGAGAAAGATGCACATGGTGGGCAGAAGTTGAGATGAACTGCGGAGGGTTGCCTACTGAAAAACAGCTATGACTCCAATTCTGATGACTCTTAAATCCAAATATATCAGAAATTCATTTTTCCTTGGGGGGAAAAATGGATTCAAACAGCATCAGAACTACCTCACCAAATATAAACTTTCAAGGACAAATTCTTATCTATTGTAAATCAGTTTCATTCCTTTGCCTAGGCTATTATAAATCAGATTTGCAAATCAAAATCT